TGGGCTGTACTAATAATATTCTTAATAATACGCGACAGATGCGCGTATAGCGCTTTAAAAAAAAAAATGGTCAATTCCCGCACGTATTCAGACTCATAACGCGTACCGAACACGCTCGTGCGACTATACACACACACCCCACAAACACGCCACATATGTATATAATATGTATAGGGTAAGCTCATAAAGTGCGCCACCAGTTTATATACAGTATATAGCCACGATCGCGCGGGTACCGCGCATGAAAGACACTCGGTAACGTATATTTGTAATTTTCATTTTCATATTACGCAAGAGCCATCGCACAGTTTAATTCTGGATCGGATCGAATCGAATCGCCTGACACGAGGATTACTTCCTCGTTACAGCGTTGACCTCCGATTCTAGCCGATCGGCGGTTACAATTCTCTCTGTAAAAAAGAGAGAGAGAGCGCGAATTACACTTCGTCAAAATTTTCTAATTAGTTCTACGCGTGACGCGCAGCGTCTCGCGTGGTACACCCTTGATCGATAATGACAATCAACGTTCACGTAAACATGGATACGTGCATAATACAATAGAAGCACGAGCACAAGATGATACCGAGTCCATATTAACGTACCTCAGGTGAACGTAGGACACGGATGAGGGATGATCAGTCAAGGATGGACCACGGGAAACACTGAGTTCGCCGTGTCGTTGATTAAAAACGAATTAATGTCTAATCAATTATTTTCCACCTCGTCGATCTTTACGCTTAATTTTAATCAGCGAGTCTCCAGTGTCTTTAGACGTCTTTGCTATGTTTACGATTCGTTATTTCATTAACCCCCCAGTACAGTTATCGCCATCTGTTGAAAGTTATCGGCAACTTCCTTACATTTCTCTCGCTTAGTCGCACCCCTTATGGTACGATCGCTACTATGTAGTATCCTAAATGCAGGCATACGCACACACAACACGCATACGCACGCACGCTCTGGCACGTCGAAATTTTGTAATATATCTTCATCCCTCGGCGTCCCGAAGGGATCGAATACCGTAACAAGTACCGTGCAGCTTGGCCATTTATTCCAATCACGTGTTTCTTTTTTTTTTTTTTTTTTTTTTTTTTTTTTTTTTTTTTTTTTTTTTCGTATTTTTTTCTCACTACTCGAGTTTAACTTTTATTTATTCGTCGTATCGAGTTTCAGTTGTTTGGCATAGAGAGCTCCTCGATGCTCGTCTGGGTAAATATTTTTAAAAAACGTAAAAAACCTACCGGTTAATTTTTTTTAAATGCAATCTCTTTTATTCAATGGCAATGAGCGGTGACGAGTGACAAGTGACACCCTAATGACGTTGGGTGAGAAATCGTCTCGGTCTGGAAGGTTCCCTTGTAGAATATCCCCCACCACCCCATGGCCCTGGGGATCTAATATCCCAATCGCACGAAATAAAAAGGGGAGGAAAAAATAAAAATATTCATCTGCCACAGAGAGCGAGAGAGAGAGAGAGAGAGAGAGAGAGAGAGGGGGGGGGGTGAGGGAGAGACAGATAGAAAAAGGGGAGAGAGATACCCTTAGAATAGACTCACTCAAATAAGATTACTAACCGAGGACTCACTGTTAAATGACGATGAACATTCGTGGGGTCCCTTCCTAAAGGGGGTTCCCCGTTTTATTTAATTCTCCTGCTTCTTCCTCTCTCGCAGTCTTCCAAATATATTTTCACAACCGCGCACGTAGACGAGTATACTTTCAAATTTTTCCTGCGCGCCTTTTTCTTCCAGATGAGAGTTCGGCGCGCGTGTTCGCCAAGTAATTACAAAGATAACAGGAGAGAAAGATAATCATTCCGAGAACAAGTAAACTTCGTGAGCCTCTCTTGGTTCCGTGGTCACCAATAATTTGGTGCCTATTGCATCCGTTAATATTATATTGCAAATATGTCAGTTGGTCTCGCGGGGGGTCGGGGTGTGGAAGTGAATGAGGATTCTGGAAAAACGACTCTTTAAGATGAAAAACGGCACAGATGGTTGATAATGAAGGATCGTCCTACGTGTAAGAGTGGCGGCGGAGGGGTCGGAGCGGGATATTATAATTTGGGACGGTAATGAAGATGTACCAACGATTACAATATACGTAGAATTATGGTTCTTATAAGTGGAGATCTCTTTTCGATATTTCTCTCGCTTTTCAATTTCCTTAATTTTTCCTTTTTTTTTCCCTTGCATCAAACTTTCTCCCTGGATTTATCACGCACGCTAATTCGCAGTAAAACACGCAATTTATCCGTTCTCACGCACACGCTCCTCTCCCTCCTCGCCATCCTCCGGAAATACACACACGCAATCTCACCCCTCGTTATCAATAAACGTCTGATTTTCGTTTGCTTTCGTTTATGCCCCATCTTGAGATTTTTACTTAGCCTCTGTCCACATAAAATGTCTTATTTTCCATCCTTCTCCTTATCCTTGTTCTCCTCTACCTCCTTATCCTTGTCCACCTCCTTCTCTTCCTTATCGGACTTCTCCTTATCGCCCTCCTTCTCCTCCTTGGATTCCTTCGTTTCCTTGGCCTCCTCCTTGCCCTCCTTCTCTTCGGGTTTCTCAGGCTTAGGCAGATGGGTATTCATCTCCAGTGTATCGCTGATCTCCTCCCAGTCGGGGTAGCAGCGTTCCTTCATGCGCGAGCAATGACCAACCAGATTCGGACAGCTCTCCTGCATGTAATCCCTGACGCTGTAGGGAACGTCCTTCTCTATGTAGAGTATCTGGGCCAGGTGAGCAAAGGCTACTACGTCCAGCTGAAAGAGATAAGGGAATTGTAGAACGGTTATCTCGTGGAATTGGAATGTAAGCCAGCCTCGTGAAAAGGTATAAGTATCGTGAAAGGATGCTCTGTCTCTTGAGAGACCGTTACCCTAATGCCCACGACCCAGTTGACAGGCTTTTAATATAATAATTAAAACCATACTCTCCGCAGAGGCCCACGATGAAAGGATGAAAGCCTAATGGTACTCACCATGGTTGGCTCGTCTCCAAAGAAGAAGGGCTTGTCGGCGAGCATGTCACAGAGGACCTTGAGATCGTCGCATCCGAACTGGGACACCGTCTCCGCGGTGTGAACGCCAATTCCGTGAGCCTTGACTTTTCGTGCACCCTGGAATCAATTCAATTGCACGTCATTAGTATGAATTATCCATCAGAAACAACTTTACCGAGTGGACCGCATCGCGTATATTGGCAAATGCTGATGTATAATTGAGATTTTTAACTTTTTAAAAGCATCTCAGTATATCAATCTACATGGAGTTTCACAGCTGACGCGCAAGCATAGAAAATTAAGGTCTGACGAGACCGTCTGGTGGGCTCGAGGATTTTGCAATTACGTAATCCCAAGTGAATCTTACAAGGGTGAGCGGGATCTACATCACGGATCCAGACTTCCAGGTACAACCATCCATAAATATGGATGACTACGGTACACGTACCTCGTCGTGTTGCTTTGCCTGCTTACCTTGCGACCAAAGATGAACTTGAAGAAGAAGTTGAGGATGGCATTAGGCATGCGCGTTCCCAGAGCACGCTGAAGGTTCACTTTGTATCCCTTGAGAACGAGATCTAGGTTCTTGGAGCGCCACCACGTAATTACCCAGACAAGATGATGCTCAATCATGGAGATCATGGCGTGGGACACGCTACGCTGTTCTGTGGTGAGACCGGCATCGAGATCCTTGCTGAATTTCTGTCCCAGCTCCTTCAGGATGATAGTGCTGTCAGCTATCTCCTCGCCGTTCAGTTCAACGAATGGAAGCTGACCCTTCTTGGAACGGAATTTGATCTTGTGGTCGACATTCTAAAACATACAAGCAAAATAGGTATTCGATGGTCAGCAGTATTTACAGCAGGCAGCCTCTCAGGCGTATCGCGGATTGTCATGACAATCGCTCAAGATTCTGCGACGGTACGAAGTACAATAAACAGCAAAATTTTTTTTTTGCCGCAACCACACGGGACTGTCTTATTGAAAAATTTTGATTGCTTGTGCTTATATCAATTTGTGCAAGAAGTCAGTGTACGAATAAACAAAAATTTAATGCTAGACATCTGCGAATTAATTAAATAATCTGTCAACTTTAGATTCGCGCCAGTCAATTCAAAGTAGTCGATCTTCTCTCTCACTCTAATTTCCTTCTCCTTCTGCATTCACGATGATACATAGAAGGTCGAGGGTGTAGAAGAGAGAAAGAACGAGAAAGAGAACTTAGGATGAGTTTAGTGGGTGGGGATCGGATACAATGCGTGACTGCATCAGCCGAGGGCTCCTAGAGTAACAGAGAGAGAGAGAGAGAGAGAGAGAGAGAGAGAGAGAGTGTGTGTGTGTAAGAGAGACGGAGAGAGGACGATGAACTCGCGGTAGGCAGCTTCCGTCGCCTGGCAACGTGGCCAACGTCGTCGTCGCCGCCGACGCCGGCGTCGTTGCCGGCCGTATTGATCGTCGCGACGCCGCGCTATCCGTTCGTCGACGCTGCTAGGACCCCGAAAGGCCAGTCAAGCCGAACTGCTTCAGAAACCACGGACCCGAATCTCTACACTTTATATACGTACTCTGTTTCAAAATGGCTCTCATGCAGAGACCCGTGCCAGGGTATAAAGGGAAAAGAACAATAAAAAGCCTGTAGCACGCATTAAAGGTATACTCCAAACTATAACGCTATATTATATGTCAAAATGATATTCATACAGAAGACAGCCAGAGGCCACCCAGACCTTTGAAAACTAAATATAGCAAACTATTGGAGTACAGAACTTAATATAAGCCCAGACTGATAAGGTATATACTTGACCCTAGTACTGGGTTATCTGTGAACTACCTCCACATCACTCATGCATTCCTTACTACTCTTTCTACGTTCCTCTACTCTCTTGCTCCCTGTTATTATAACCTTAATACAGAGATGCGATTAATGAAGAAAATAAGTACAAAAATACATCTGGATCAATGTTTTTCACGAGGCTTGTCCGTTCTTTGGGACGCCCAACAAGTTACCCAGGCCTATTGAAACAGGCGTGAATCATCCATTGGGAGAACGTACCCCTCTTTCTGTACCTATATTATCCGTCTCTTTTTATGCGTATGCATACACGAGTTAAAGGGGGGCGAGAGAGAGAGAGAGAATATCATAGTAGTATAAGCACCCGAACACATCAGTACGTAAGCGTGTCTAGCTCTGACTAAACTCAAATGAGACTCCCCCGACACAGTGTGCAAGCGAAATCGATTCTGAGATCAATAAACCAGAAACACGAGCCTCGTGTATACAGATATGGGAAGTACGCAGGAAGCGAGTGAATGCTGGTAGATATGAGTAAGTGAGTAAGTAAGTAAAGAGAGTAACGGAAGGTAGTCGAGTGAAGAAGAAAAAGAAAAGAATAAAAAGAAAAAGGTGAGTTGGCAGTCTCCTCCCATCTGGGGCACAGTACTACGAGTCTCTGTAATGGTCGTACGGTATTTCTAGGTAACACTGGGTGCCGAGTCGATAGACGTCCATGAATATTAGAAGATAACAGAGGTCTGAAGCAACGGTGAAAAGGTATTATTTTGAAATCACGTAATAAATGGTTGAATTAGAAAAGTAAGTTTGTAAGCACCAGTCCGGAATGTTTATCTGCATGAAAACGTTATGCGAGCGGACAAGAGCTTTATTTGTGTAATACCGAGGGGCCAACGTTAGGAACTTCGACTGAGCCAAGCGTGAACGACGTTCGAGAAGTGCAGCGAGGAGGATAATAAAAATAAAGAGAGGAATGAAAAAGCGCATTGTAAAGAAACATGGCAATGCGTAAGGAGGCTCCGTGAGGATTTCGACACATCTGCGAGACACGTGGTTCGGCTTATGCAGGCCGGAATGGAAAGGCCTGTTATTCCTACCGAAAGACGGTTATAATAATCATAATGCTGCTAGTGAGATTTCCCTAGATGCCTCGGAATGTCACTAGGATGGACCGTACGAAGGAGCTTCGTAGACGATAAGCCGACGAAGAATCGAGCAATAAGCTCTTTTCTGACTTTCAAAGAGATTTCAGAGGTCGAGTTGACTCGAGTTCAAACGACGAGTTGAGCCTTGTTGAGGTAGGCTATAGCGACCTCACAAGTTTCTACGATTCCTGGAGATCATATCGATCACAGTATTATACAGCGTACATACAGTAAGAGCAAAAAGTTTCTAGATGATATAAATTAAATTGAACGGCAAGTCGAAAAAAACCTATTTAAAAAGAAACCCATGAAAATTAAAAATTTGTCCAAAAGCAAAATTTGGGTAATTTTTAAAATTCAATACGTCACCGCGTATTTTCAAATGAAATTCTTGGGTAATCGTTGTTACCATTGGATCCAGGTTAGGACCACGTCTAGATGCTTCGAATAGACTTTCTGGCAAATATCGAAGCTTGCTTCGTCAGGGCTTGAAAGATATTCCAATACTGCACTGACATGAAAATCATACCTTTAGATGAATTTCAGAAACTTTTTTCCGATACTGTACGCTCGGCCAATGATATGGATGGTTTCGTATATATTCTATACGTGAACCGTATATAATTTTTCAGCCTGACGATCTGCCTTTGACATCATACAGAAGCTTGATTAATCAACACAAGTTTTAGTCACAGAGTAGAATTCCTCGTGCATATCATGTTTCCTGAACGAGAAATAATAATGAATCAACGTCCTATACGTATACCATAATAAGGGATCCCTGTAAAATCTAATCACTGTGATTCGAGCTTTCCCAGCTTCAAAACGTATCCGCGTCCTTTCTATCTCTTCCCTGTTAGTTTGCGTAGGCCGCAAGATAAAATACCTCAACGACAGAGCGTTTCCCTTTGGAAAGAAAAAGAAAAAGGAAAAATCTTTATGTACCGATACCCCAGTCCATTTCTCTATGCATTGAATACGTATCTCCTAACCGTTCGACAAGCAAGCTCGATATCGGAGGAAACTACTATGGGACCTATCGTTTTCCTTATCTCTATCTGAGGAATGAGTTCCTCAGGTGTCCTCGTGCATCGATACTCGGATACTATGGGCAGGATGACGTCACGAAGGAAGTATTAGGTACGCGTCGAAGGAAATATCTGTGGTAACTGTAACTACTCATTGTTACTGTTAATCTGTAGTAACGGCTGCCATCTTTCTTTAGCACTTTAGCAAAATCTCCGTTAGAGAGTCGACGGGACTCATTAGCAGGTTGATTAACGCGTACGCCAGAGTTTCATAATAACGAGGAACAAGGGAGCAGCAGTTCCCAAGAAATGAGACGAGGATAAAAAAAAAGGCAAAAAAGTGCTCCGAAGCGATAATGCATGAAAATTTATGGAGATACACAAGTCAGTGTTCAAACAGTCAAGTCATTGATGAGAAATAAGGGGTCGGGTTGTGACATTAACGCGGACAGTGCGTAACGCATAGTACAATGGTTAAAGAAGAAAAAAAAGAATAAAAGAAAAAAAATGTGTCTTCCGTGACAATTGACCCAGTGGAATTAACGGAGTAGCTACTCGGGCACGAGGTCATGGACCTGGAATGCATAGGTCGGATCGCGTGAGGGAATGCGTCTTTTCTTTTGATAATTCCCGACAGTCGGTGGACGGGCGAAAGAGAAGCGCAGAAAAGCATAGAAGCGGCAGAGTAGAAGTTCGAGAATGATAACAAAAAAAAAAAAAAAAAAAAAAAAAAAAAAAAAAAAAAAAAAAAAAAAAAAAAGAATATTTTCAGGAGTATTGGTCACGAGAAGCAAAAGGAATAATTTTTTCCCGAGCCGTTTTACACGAGAGAACCTGATACAATTTTCAGGATACGATGCGAGCTTCGCCTTCGAAGACTCGTAAGACGGCCAGAGGAGCAATTGAGAGATTAATTAATTAAGCTGCACAATGAGGGGGTAAATTGGGTATAATGCGGTGGTATGCCAGGAAGGCAGATGAGAACTTGAGGAAGGCAAGAGGCTTTCCCGAGGCTCCTCGTGGAAGGCGCAGAAGACCTGGGGGATGGTACCGAGGAGTGGCTGATACTGTGTTATACGGAGCGATTGAAGGGCACGGAGAGAGAAGGAGGTAGTAGTAGGAGTGGAGGGGACCGGGGGGGAAAGAGGAGCGAACCCGATGCCACGAAGAGTACTGGCAGTAACGTGGGCGTTGGCCGGCTACGTCGATTACTCGCTGACTAATCGCTATACGACTTTCTCGTTGTCTTCCATCCCTCTCAATTTCAATCTTCGTCCTCCTCGTCCACGCTCGTCATCAGAGCCCCATCCCGTCTACCCATAAAGCATTCTCGCTTGCCTTCGTTCCAGGCTTACCCCACCTCCCGCCCCACCATAATCTCTGCCTACGCTATCTACCATGATCTCCCCGTTTTTACTTATTCCCCAGCATTCTTCACTCCACATTGTGCGTCGAAGCTCGGCGGATGCGAAAACGACGATGCTCACCAAAAGTACGCAGTCTGAATTCTATTTTAGGATACTCCGTGAATTTCACGCTCCTTGGCTACCTTCGAGCGCTCTGTGAAGTTCTTCGGAGGCACTTCGTTATGGCCCTTCAATTTGGTCCAGTTATATTTTTCGAAGTATAGGACGAGTTATGGGTAACCTCAAATTATTAAAGCAGCCACCGGAACGGCGGATCGATCCCGAGAAACCATGAAAATAAAGAACGGGGACGGGTTCATGTTCTCTGAATTAGGCTTGTACATGAACGATAGAAAATTCAAGCTTGTTATCGATACTTTCAACCCCATTTTTTTTTTACTCGCGATGGATCGGTGCACTTTTTGTTTCTTTTCTCTCTTTTTTTTTTGTACCGATCTACCCCTGAATTTAACGGACCAGCGCTCGTAAAGGCTGGAGAGCCCGGCCCCTCTTCTCGGGGCCTCCCCACGAACCCTGGCTGTGGCGTACAACTTATTCCGTGTGCCTGACGCGCAGTCCCCTGTCCCCCGCGCAATCTATGAGGCAGACGACGTATTAACGAGTCGGCCGACCATGGGCGGTCACACATTTTGAGAAACGTGAAACTGAGATCCTGGGAGAAACTTCTGTAGCAAGGAAATTCTATTTATGTGAGCTTGCGCTCCTACCCCCCTGGCCCCCCGTTCTGGGGACAAGTATAACAATAATAATGACATTCACGAGACCCTTTTTCGTGCTTGACGATTCGAAACGAAGGGAGTTGCATAGTTACGTCAGACCGGGCATGAAATTGTACCGGTAACATTACTAATGTACATTCGTCGTATATTATGCAGATACTAATAGTTGCGAGTGACGTTTAAACGAATTAAATGATACGCGCCGAATACGCACCCACGTATCTATATTAGGCGTAGTTTGACGATCTACGCGCTGATGTACGAGCGCTACGCATTTCGTATGTAGATTTCCCTCTGCCCCCTATTTTCTCTCGTCCCGCGCGTCACGTGACGTTTCATGAATACTGATTTACACCACGGTTTATCCGACGGCGACATCTCGGCTTGCAAGACAGAGAGAGAGACATGGAAAGAAAGAGAGAGCGAGTCAAAGAGTGGCATATAGGAAGTATAACCTCGTGGAAAGAGTGGAGGATGAATGATTTTCTCATGAGGGTCCTAGAGTCGAGAAACAGATAAAACGAGAATGACGTCGGGAGCAAAAGATGGTAAAAGGACTGAAAAATAAAGGGCAGAGCACGAAAGAGAGAGACCGAATATATATACGTACACCACAGAATATTTCAAGCACCGAGATACGGCCTACTTTCACGCTACAGAATCTTTTTCCAGAAGACGCCAAGGTGGACCAACTTTTTACAAGGGGGGTTCCTTTTTTTTGTTATATGTACTCCGCTACGGCAACTAGGTAGATAGAACGTTGAAACCCGCTCGTGTTTCGCTTTGCGGTTTGCCGTGGGCATTAGCGTAGATCTTTGCTTATTTCAGAAGAGTTGCAGAGGTGGAGGCATAAACCGCAGTGTTATCACAGAGAATCAGAAACACAGGGATAAAGCCGTAAGATCAACGGTAGTGAGTGTGCTTATGGGCCTTTTGTATCAACTGAGCGTGCCAACGCGGGAGGGCCCACCAGTGCATACGCCATTGGAATCAGTGAAGGTCAGAGATGCGTGCAGCTGCACCGGGCTGCACTGGCTTCGACCAATGGTTCCCCTTGGCTTCCTTCAGCCGTACCCCTTCGGCAGGCTAGCGTGTGGCTCCGCCGCCAAGTCAAAACGTGTCCGCCTTCTTGGTTATGTTCAGGATAGGGGACAGTGGGAAAGAAAGAAGAGAACGAGAGGAACCTACATCGGCTGGTGATCAGGTTCACCAGGCTTTGAAAGAATAGATAGTTTCCTGAAGATTTAACGGGGGGAC